AAAAAAAAAAAAAAAAAAAAAAGACATGAAGCCGACTAGTAAGCTGTCACAGGTGTCTGCGAGGAGTGCGGGAACGGCGCCACCATCTCCCCAGTTATTCAAATCAGAAGCCTGAGAGTCACCGTAGGTCCCTTTCCCAGCGGCCTCGGGTCCAGCTCCTGCGGAGAGTCTCACCCAGACCTCCGGGGGGTCGGAACGTGGGCGGGGCCGGGTGGCTGGGGCGGGGCCGTGAGGGGGAAAACGGGCGCCGTGGGGCGGGCCCTGAGCTCTGGGATCAGGATTGGGTAACAAGGCCGGAAAGGGACGGTCTTATGTTCCGGAAGGGGCGGGACTTTCCGGCGGCGGCAAATTGCAAGGAGTATCCGCTGTCTTCATGCTGCCAGCAGGCTGCTCTCGCCGGTGAGGCCCGCGCAGAGGAAGACAGGGAGAAGGGGCGGTCGGGTGGGCGCGGGTCCCGAGGCAGACCAAGGTGCTGAGCCGCCAGTGCGTCCCCCACAGGCTGGTGGCCGAGCTGCGGGACGCCCTGGACGCCTGCTCAGAGCGACAGCTGCAGCTGGAGAAGAGCTTGCGCATCTCTCATCGGCTGCTGCGGGCCTGGTACGCGGACCCCGCGACCCCTGGCCAGGCCACCCTTGCGCCCTCAGAATCCTGCACAGAGCCTTCGGCGCTGGGAAGCTGGGCACAGCCACCCACTTCCGAGTTGCACGTTATCAGTGCCCCTCCCCTCCTTGCCCTGAGACTGGGGAATTGCTGCGGGCCTAGGCGGCTCCATGGGGTCTGTTTGGGCCGCGGCCCTACCTCCTGGCCGTGCCATGGCCTCCCGTGTCTTCGTAGGGAACCAGCCCGGACCCCGACTCTGGAGCCACATCCGGAGACAGAAACTAATGAAGGGGACCCGTCTCCAGGTAAATTTCAGCCACCCACCTTCTCCAGGTTCTGCCCCTGGCCTGTATTTTGGCATGCATTTAGGAGGGACCCCCTCTGGGAGACAGTGGGGATGGACCCCTGTATGATTCTTGACTTTCACAGCATGCACACATAGCCCTGAAGACCTCAAGGAGCTAGAGCTTCTGACCCAGGCACTGGAGAAGGCTGTAGGAGTGCGAAAAGGCATCTCTAAGGCTAGAGAAAGAGACAAGACCTCCAGCCTGAAATCTGAGTCCATTGCCACCTCTCCTGGCATGACAGCCTCTGCCCTACCCCGGGTCCCAGGCCAGGCTGGCAGCCATTCACGCGAGACAAGAAACACCAAGGGCACCCGCCAGACCACATTTCCTGCCAAGGGCCATCCTGAGCACAGGCTCCTGTCAGTGGGAGTCAGGAAGCGTGTAGGGCTAGCCGAAGCTGCCAGGCCTAGACAAGACCTCAAGGACCAGCAAATGGCCCCATCAGCTACTCCTCAGGCCCTGAAAGCCTTCACACTCAAGGAGAAGGGGTAAGCTTTTCAGACCCTCATCAGAGGAACTGCCATCTCTACCTGCTCAGACCCTGGCCAGCAACAGGAGTCTGGGATTTGGGGTGACAGGGAGGGCAGGGCATTGAGCAAGATATGGCTTCTGGATCCCTGAAGTGCACCCCTGAAGCCCATGCTCTGAAATGGGCACAGTGGAGCAACCGTGTGACAGTTCCCAGATTGATAGCTGTCCCCTTATCCATCCAGCCCAGGGGTTCCAGGTGGGCTCTGGAGGGCCTGGCTCTGATCATTGGATTTGTTCTTCTCTGCCGGGGAATTGCTGGGCTGAGCTGAGCTGGCTCCCATGATCATTCTGGAATCCCCATCCAAAGAGCTGCTCTGAGACTTGAGTGGGCAAAGAGGGCAATGAGAAGCCTCATCCCTGATTAGGCTCTGTACAGGCAACGGGACTTGCACCCCCAGGGTGAGGGGAAGCTCCTCTGAATGCTGGCTTCTCTGACAGGCACCTGCTGCAGCTGCCCGTGGCCTTCAGAAAATTAGCCTCCCAGAATGCCCGGTGAGGCTGGGTCTTTTGGTGGGGTGGGGGTAGAGGGAGGCCAGGAAGGCATCACCAGCTTGGGGGCATGCAGGAGAGACTCTCCAGCAGGTCTCTCTGTTTTCTTTGCTGGGTGGGGTCACTGGATGTTAGAAGAGTTTTCCCAGCTAGGCTGCTGTAGCTGCCTTATACTTGGGGCTTTGAAGGACCCCCAGCTCAACCCGTCACAAGCTGCAAGACTTGAACAAGACACTTGGTGTCTCCAAGTTCTAATTTGTCTTCTCTTTGGTGGTGGTGAGAATAGTACCAGCTTTATGGAGGTGTTGTAAGGGTTAAACAAGATGGCACCTCTCAAGTATTCCCACTATACCTGTTACCAAGCAGGCACCTACGTCTCTTACCAGCTGTCATAGTTTCCAGGTGCTTCCAGCTTCTCCCTCCTGTCTTGAATACTTTCTTTTTGTTGTTGTTGTTGGAGTCTCACTCTGTCACCCAGACTGGAGTGCAATGGCTGCTCACGGCCACTGCAGCCTCGACCTGCTGGGCTCAGGCGATCATTCCACCTCAGCCTTCCAAGTAGCTGGAACTACGGGCATGCGCTATCACACCCGGCTAATTTTTTATTTATTGTAGAGATGAGGTCTTGCCAAGTTGCCCAGGCAGGTCTTGAACCCGTGGGCTCAGGCAATCCACTCACCTTGGCCTCCCAAAGCATTGGGATTACAGGCTGAGCCACCGAGCCCGGCCTTGAATACTTTCTTAACACTCTCAGAGCTGGTCAGCTCTGTCCTCTTGTCCTTGTCAGTGTCCTCTCAGTTCCCCGAGGCCTCTCCTGGCATACAACAGAGCCAGACACCCAGCCTAGGGCCCCTACCCTGGCCCCGGCCTACCTCCCAAGGCCCAACTGGTCTGTCTAGAAAAGCTGTGTTCCTCTCTGGTTTCTGGGGCACCTGTGTGTACATTCCAGCCTGTGGGCCCAGCTGAACTCTACACAGACCAGTGATTCCACAAATGCCACCGCAGCTGCCAAGACCCAGTTCCTCCAGAAAATGCAGACCACTGTATCCTTTTTGGGTTTGCAACAGTCTGGGGCATCTTCTGACTCTAAACCTGTCAGATTGGAGGAGCAGCCCCAGGAAGGGGCTAGTATAGGATAGACAGGGCCTCTCCAGACCTTTCTTAGTGGAAGGGGAGGGGAGAGGAGCCTGGACATAGAAGAGTTTTCCTGACCTGTATCCAGTCAGGCGGGACTGGCGCTGGGCTCAGTGCTGCAGAGGTCGAGGTGGAGATGGCACGCCTGCAGAAAGCCTGCTTGCTGCTGAGACTGCGTGTGAGGAAGGAACTCTCAGCAGGTCAGTTGTCTCCAATGTGGGTCTCAGGAGGGGATGAGGAGGAAGGTGACCCTCTGGACCCCCTCTGCCCTCCCTGACTCTTGCACAGCCCCCACGAACTGGATGCAGGAATACTACTCCCTGCTCACCCTGGAGGGGCTGCAGGCCATTGTTGTGCAGTGTCTCCACAGGCTGCAGAGGCTGCGTGCAGGTGAGGCCCGCCCCCACCCTGCCCCCAGACCAGGGTCATGATACTTTCCCCAGCCTTACCTGGGCCTTCAGGAAGGATCAGCAGCCTAGGGACCAGACATAGGATGGCTTTCACAACCTGCATACCCAGCCCCCAAAACCTCAGGGAGGTGGAGCTGACCCTTCCACGACTCCCTAGCATGCCACATTCTCAGTTGTCCTATGGGGCCAGCCAGCCTTCCCTCTTCCTCAGGTCAGCTCTACAACCCCACTGCTCCAACAAACAGAACCGCCTCACTCTGAGCAGTTTACTTATTTATCCAGTTATTGAAAAAGTAGCATGTGAGAATCAGATACTGGGAGATGACTCACTTGGGATTGCAACAGGTAGCTTTTCACAGACAATAGAGCTTCTTTTTTGTATTTTTCAATTACTTGAAGTTTTAAGAGTGAAGATAGGCCAGACTTGGGGGCTCAGCCTATAATCCCAGCACTTTGGGAGGCCGAGGCAAGTGATTGCCTGAGCCCCTGGCTTCGAGACCAGCCTGGGCAACTTGGTAAGACCTCATCTCTACAATAAATCAGAAAATAAGCCGGGCATGGTAGTGGATGCCTGTAGTTTCAGCTACTTAGAAGGCTGAGGCGGAAGGATTGCCTGAGCCCAGCAGGTTGAGGCTGCAGTGGCCATGAGTGTGCCACTGCACTTCAGCCTGGGTGACAGAGAGAGACTCTGACTCAAAAAAAAAAGTGAAGATATATGATTTGTCAAAAGCAAAGTCAGTCTCAAAAAAGTTTTACATAAGCACAGTGAAGAAATCCAAGAGGTAGGGAGATGCCACAAGGACCCCCTGCCTCAGTGAGCCCAGGCCCATCATGCACTGTCACACACTGGGCCATTCTGAAAGCCTACCCTTGCTCCACTAGCAGCAAGGCGAGGGGAGGGTGAGAAGAGGGTGTCTGAAGAATCAGGTGCTACCCGGGGGAGACACTGGGCCTGGGGCATGGCCACCACCCCATGAGGCCACATCCTTCCGTCAACACAGCAGAGGTGGAACTGCCGCGGAGATCGTGTCCTGTGGGGATGCCCCCCAGAGCCTTGGTGCCCTGTGGCAGTGGAGCAGGCCCCTCGTGGAGCCCCCTGCTGCTTGCCTACTCCAGCACCCAGGAGCTGCAGACGCTGGCAGCCCTCAGGCTGCGGGTGGCCATGCTGGACCAGCAGATTCACCTGGAGAAGGTGCTTCTGGACTAGGAGGTGGGGGTAGGCAACTGTGTCCTGGGGGGGGTTGTCAGCCATGGAGAGGACTCAGCCTCAGGAAGAGGAGGGCCTGGGAATCGGGGCTTGACTATGCTTTGCCCTCCAGGACCCGGGAGGCTGGGGTGTCAGCCCCCGGCCTGTGTGTGGGTTGGGAAATGCATGTTCTGGACACGGTCCTGGGACGGTAGCAGGGAGCGGAAGTGGAGCGTGGAGCTTCAGAGGGATGGGCAGGAGCATGGGCATCTCGAAGCCAGTCCCGGGACTGCCATGCCACCTGGGCCCCCTGAGACCTTGGTTCTGCCCTGCCCCCCAGGTCCTAATGGCTGAACTGCTCCCCCTGATGAGCACCCAGGAGCCGCAGGGGCCACCCTGGCTGGTGCTGTGCCGGGCTGTGCACAGCCTGCTCTGTGAGGGAGGTGAGCGCTTCCTCACCATCCTGCGGGATGACCCTGCAGACTGAGCCCCTCCCACCGCTGCCCAGGCCTCAGGACCCTGGGGCTCAGTTGAGCCTGTTGGAGTGTTCCCTACTCCCTGGTCAGAGTTCAGTGAGTGGGCACTGAGGGGCTCTTCCCTGGTGCCATGGCTCTGGGTGCTCCCTGGGAAACCTGGGTTTCTGAAGTAGAGCGAGTGGGCTCCCTGGCCTTTTCAAGACTGCTTAACCTGTTGGTCAGAGCTGCTGTCGGCCTCCCAAGACTCCTGGAGCCCAGGTGCCCGTGGGAAGCCCTCCTTGCCTACTTGTTTCCTCGCTGTCAATCTAAGAGCTGCTTGTGTGACATTAAAGCTACGTTAGGAAGAATGTCTATTTAAACCATACCAGGGTGTGGGACTTGGTGGAGTCTGTTGTTTGTTTATAATTTTATTTATCAAGTATGTCATTGTTTGATATTTATTATGCTGGAAAAAAGATCAAGTGTATTTATCAAGAACATAAATATCACTTTTGTATAAAGGAAGGGGCAAGGCCACACAAGGTGGGCATTTGCATACCTGAGACTCCCTCCCCCATGCCTAGAGCCGTACTCATCCGAGGACACGAAAAGCTATAAGCCATATTGGAGAATGGCTGGTCACTCTCTCTGCCCATGGCTATCACAGCTCTGCTCCCTACGCTCTCCCAGTGGCCATGCCCAGCTCCCTGTCCTGGCAGTGCTGCTATGGCAGGTGCAGGATCCTCTATTCACACTGAGCTTCCACCAGGGAAAAAGCCCTTTAGCTCTTCACTGTCATCCCCAAGAGGCGGAGAAGCCATTGCTTCCCCAGGAAGGAAAGAAAGGGTTGTGGCCTCTGCAGCCATGACTTGGGTTTACACCATGATGTGTTTCCTACAGTGAGACTTTCAGCAAGAGTCCTAAGGACTGAGCCTTAGTTCCCTAGGTCTGTCCCCATTGTCATCCTGGGCAATAGTGGGTATTATCCCACAAGACTAGCATGAAGATTGATGAGATGGTGTGTGTGAAGCACAGGGCCATGGAGTCTGTGTTGTTTAAATGAACTTCTGAAGCTCCTCTGCACCCAAAGCAGTCCTCAGAGCTGAGCTTTATGTGGACAGCTCTGGTCACGATATGGGAAGGGACAGCTCCCACGGGGTCCGACGCCAGCCTCTTCCCCAAGGCGTCCAGGTCTCTGTGGGCAGGACAGGAGTCAGGTAACACCTGGAGAAAGCTGGGTCTTCTTCGAGTGCCAGAAGTGTTGCAGGGATAAAGGAACAAGCTAGGCAATGGTGAAGCAGCTCTGAGATGGCTTCCTGCTCCCAGCAGGAGGTCTTAACTCAAAGGATCTGGCAGTCCCACAGGCCAGAAACAGACTCTGACACAGGGTTGGGGGCTGCTGGGAACCAGATGACAGAGACCAAAATCAGAAATCAGAGTTCTCGGTTCCCACTGCATGGAGGAACCCCTCCAGGGACAGAACAGTTCCATCCACCACCCAGGAGCACCCTGCCTTTTCCTGGTCAGCAGGCCATGTCACTGCTGCCTGCAGGGCTAATGCCCAGGTGCTGTGATCTGCAAGATTCCTAATCCCACCACTGCCCGGCTGCTGTACACCCCAGTGTCAGTTTCCATAAGATAGTCTCTACCCAGACTGGCTCAATTGGTTTATTGTCCACCAATCCTGGATGTTTGCCCCAGGAAGGCAGGGGCACTGTCCACATCCACCCCTGGTGGGGCCCAGATAGAAACCCAGAGGTCACTGACTCTGATCCACCTATCTTTAGCCAATCCAGGACACTGGTGGTGTCCTGAAGCCAGAGGGTGCCCTGGATAGCTTTGGTGGTGGGTTCCTGGGTAGGCCCCAACACAAGGGGTCCAGGGCAGGAAAGGCAAACTCCTCCACCACCTCCGGATTAATGCCCACCCACCCCGATTCCCCGTCAAAACCAGGAGGAGGTAGCTAAATCCCTGGCGTCCCTGATGGCGTCACCGCGTGCGAGGCCAGTCGGCTCTGACATGGTAGGTCCGGACACTAGTGGGGACTGCCTCTGCCCGCGGCGCCGGCTGGGCCGGGGCCCT